TGGAGCAGGGAGCCCGATGTGGGACTCGATCCCAGGACCCTGGGACCATGACCTGAGCCGAAGGCAGATGCTTAACGACTGAGCCACCCAGGCGCCCTTCATTCCATCTCTTCTGTGCATATAAGCATGAGCCAACTTGCCTGCCCTCACTGTTAGAATGCTAATCAGTTTGAGACCAAGGAGCAATTCTTATCTTTATATTCTTAAATATTTAACACAGTATTGGCTACTGAATCACATTTTCTTAATTGCAAGTGCAAATACTCTACCTTATCCGTATCTGTATCCACCCACCACAGACCGCCATCCCCTCCCTTGATGCGTTGCATGTCCAAGATACTTGATAAATGCTTTTGAATGACTAAAGGAAGGAAGAACCTCCTGTATTTGGTTATCTCAATGAGCACTGCTTGCCAGTTGATTGGAACTAGACTCCCTAATTCTTAAGCTAGGTTCACCTTCCAGATGTGTTCCCCCATGGTCTTGGCTCCACCATTAAGTAGCTGTACCACTCGGCAATTACACAACCTCACTTCACCTGCATTTCCTCATCTGTAAAATGGGGATAAACTAGCACTTATCTCATAGGATCACAGTCAGGAATCCACAAAAAGCCCCGAGAAGAGTGCCTAGCAATACATAGCAAAATGCTCAGTAAATATTAGCTACTGTTATTTTAAACTTTACCTAGCATAAGCTTCATTACTTATCACTGTGATTCTTATTTAATTTGTTGACTTTTCAAAGACTGTAAGCTCGTGTCAGTCTTGGTCTTCTCCCCAGCACGGTGCTCTGGCAGGGGGTGAGTGGTCAATAAATGTCTGAAGGCATCCATCCATGCAAGGATGGGAATATTTATGGTTGACACACATTTCCGCAACCTTTGGACACTCTAAATGTTAGCGTTGACTCATGCTCCTACAGCATTCGAGAAGCAGATGATGGACCAATTACCAAGTGGTTAAGAGCACAGATGGCAAAGCTGGAGAGAATGGACATGAATCCTGGCTCCCCCACTTACCGGAATGTGATCTTATGTGACTTCTGTGCCTCTTTCTCCTCATCTGTAAAATGGGAATAATAATAATAATAGTAGTACCTACCTCAGAGGGGTTTCGTGAAGATTAAACAAGTTAATATTTGAAAAGCCCCTAGCATTATGTCAATGTTAGCTGCTGTCGCCATCAACAGCAACATGGCCTGTGAGTAAAGACACGACACAAACACCTGAACGTGAAAACAGGCGTGTGGCCCTGTGCTCGCAGGAAAACATCGTGTGGCAATTACAGAGAATCTGTGGGGTGGCCGAAAGGCAGCGCTCAAAATAAACATGAAACCGTGCCATGACAATTTAGCTGTCATTAATATACTATTGGAATGTTGTAGGTTCACACAGTCAAGGCCACACTTAAGAGTTGGGGGGCTACGGGAGAGGGTTTTCCGAAGAGTGTCTGACTTGCAAAATGCAAACACCGCCGGGCCCACCAGCTCCCACCACAAACCCTGCCCTCCAATCAGGTGGAAGCACATCTGAGCCCAGCACCCCTCCTCGAGTCTGAAGTCCCACAGCCCCAGGACCACTCTTCCCTCCTTGCCGGCTCCTCCTGACCTGGGTTTTCTCCTCATCGGTGCAAGGCCCCTCCAGAAACTCAGGGTGGCTGTTCTCTTCTTTGCTGCGGTGTCTCCAAAGCCACGGGGCTCGGGGAAGCCCAGCTGCCCTAGACAACAGCGGCCCTCTTGCCAGACGTCCCTGTCGCTGGACCACATAGCAGCAGGGATGTCGAGGGCAGCAAGCAGGCTCCTCCCAGGTTGCCACCCCGCTCCAGCAACAAGCAGAGGGACGGCTTCCCACCCAGCTTGGGGAAGATGTGGAGCTCTCCGTGACTCCAGGAAACTTCCCAAAAAGGCACCTTAGGTCTCAGAACAATTGAAGAGCCAGAATGGGATTGGGGGAAGGAATGTGGAGAGCTTTGCTTCTTCTGTTTTCTGCTCTCCGTCGCCAAGACGGCTTCCGCTCCCCGCCGCGGCCCAGACCCAGGAGATGATTTGCAGCTCATCACACTTAGCCGCAGATTGCTTTTAAAGTTATTCATGATTAGCCATCTCACCACTATCTACCTGCCTCAAGATTAGATGCTGCCCCTATCTCACAACCCTCTTCGAAGGGCCTGAAATCAAAATCTCCTCATGAATGGAATTTATCTGCAAATATGTACGGTGGCTTCTTATCAGAGAGCTCTTTTTTCAAGTCTTTGCTTAATCTACCTATCTAATGTATAACATGCAAATTATATTGCAAATCCTATGTTAGGTGCAGAAAGAAAATCACAACAGAGCATGTGGTGGTTCTGCTACAATCAGTACCTTATTTGTTGTATCTACCACTGATCATGGCCTTCCGATGTTTCTTATCCCTGCCCCTTACACATGCACACCAATCGAAATGGGTCTCTGGAGATGCCTCATGAATGGGTCAACTTTGCTCAAGATTCATGGCTCTTATGTAATACTACTTACTATTAAACACTTTTGTGCCTACTTAAGTAATCTTAGCAAGATGTTAATAAATGAGTATTACGTTCTTGGGATAGGTAGCCACACTATTGCATCATGATGCCAACAGGAAGGCAGAGAGAGGTGCCTGGCTGCCAACAGAAGTTAAAGAATTTGGTATCAGAAGGGTCTCAGAAAGAACCCAGAACGTGGCCCATTAGGTTTCTCAATCGATAGAGCAGCATGGAAAGCTCCACTCAGCTAGTCATGTGCTCACTGCCGGAGTCTGGGGGGCAGATTCCAGCCATGTAACATACAATTTAAAACATGTTCTTAAAGGGGATGATGTCCCTGTTTAAATTGGCGAGGCCGCGGCATAAAGGACGGAATCAGAATCCTTCACGGCCTTCCCAGGAGGGGCACCACGCTCTTTGGAGAGACAGGGAAGGGAAGGGTGCAGTCCCACGTGCCAGCTGTGCTGGGTCTGTGGTACAGCTCCTCGGGAATACAAGACAGGCACAAAACCTCTTGAAGCCGACGGGAGTCCAAGGTAAGCTGCTTCACAAACACTCAGCCAATGATAAAATGTTTTGAAAAGCACTTAAGCTTAATGGGTTGAGGTGTTAACTCAGTGGAAGCGTCTGTTACTATGGAGAGGGACTGTGAGAACAGGGCAACGCAATGCCAAGAGGCCCGGAAGGAAAGGCCATCAGGAGGAGTTACGCCTCACAAAGCAAACACATAACAAGAGGGCCTCCTGTACACAATGGGCGGCCACACGGGGCCCAGAATGATGATGATGTCCTCAAGGGGAGGAGTGATCCGTACCAGGATGGTCTCCCGATCCCTTGATGCCTCTTGGTTTGAATCAGGCTCCTCGAGTCACTACTGTGCCCAGGCCTTCCATGGACCAGAACTTCCAAGACCAATACTGATTCTTCCAATCTCCTCTTGGCCATTTGCTCAGAAGCCAAGGACCATGCTGACATGTATCGCCTGGTTTGGGCCCACTGGCCTCATATGTTTTCATGTTCCGCTCCTCCAGAGTCTCTGACACAAGCCAGGCCATAGAAACATCATCAGGCCCAGGAGGTTCTCTGGCAAGAATGATGATTTGAGTTCTCCATGACTGCTCACTTGGTGATTAGTCTTTTTATAACTTTGTTTCCTATCAAACATAGCATTCATTGCCTTTAAAAGGATTGCAGTCTCCAAACTTCCTATGATTGCCTCATACCCTGGGTGCTCATGTTCTAGCCCCCATGCCATCTGGCAGCCATTCTAGTTCAGGGGCTGTGTATCAAGGGGAAAACTGGTTCATCCTAACCCCATTTGACACATGCCTTCCTGACAGTCTTCTATGGTACAAGACCCTGGGAGGGGCTGAGTCATCAGCCAGCCAAGTGCCTTCCTGACCCATACTTTTGAGTCGTCTGAACAGTATTCAGAACCATTGCTGTTGGCTCAGCAACAACTTAATACTCTGAAATTTAGCCTTCATCAGAAGTGTCCAGTCTCTTAGCCTGAGATTCGTAACATTATTTGAATATATATATATATATTTAAATATAAGAACAAAATAACATAATTATGTATTATTTATCTACAGAATAAACAGACCTCTGCCAGCCCAGGTAGAGATGATGAGAACTAGGGTTTGATTTTTCTAATTACACCCAGCTTTTGGATAGGGGTGGTCGAAAGGACACTTTATTCCTCTCCCCGTAGTCATGATTGCTCTGTTGCAGCTAATCAAACTCTAATTCATTACAAACCGGGACAAGAAACAAAAGAGAAGAATAAATAATGGCTTCTCCCGGGCCTTAAAGCCCTATGGGAATCTCGGACTAAATGTGGCACCTGGGCTCACTAGGATGTGCGCTCCACGAGAGCAGAGGTCTTGTCTGGCTCGCTTACAGATGTATCTCCAGCACCTACGTGAGCACCTGGCACATTGTGATCATGTAACAGGTATCTGCTCGATGAAGCAATGAATGAATGAATGAATGAATGAACCAGACCACAGTCATCAAGAGCAGCAGAGGGGCCAAATGTCAGAGTGCATAGGTAGGCAATTGAAATCAAACGCCTTGGGTTGAGTCCCAAGTCTTCTGACTGGATGAACTTGAATAAATTACCTCACTTCTCTGAGCCATTTCCTCACCACAAAAAGGAAGAACAAAAATATATATTCCACAGAGCTATTTTGTACAATGAATGATAAAATTCCTGTGAAGGTATTTCATAAAGTAGTAGTTGCCCACACTAGCACTTCGGAAGTGTCCTTATATACCCCTGGCCCACTTACTCCCCTGCTCCAGCTATCTGCTGTCTCCCCTTCCTCCCCATTCCCACACCACTGCCTTAGCTACATGATTCATCACCCAGATAGCTCCTGTCCCTTCCTACTGGATTCCCTGCCTTGAGCCTGACTCCTCCACGGGTTCCTGCTGCCAATAAGCTTCGTGGGTAAGTGACCAGTGCAACTGCATGGGGCCCCCTACTCAGAAGGACCCCCTCCTTGAGGTTTAATGCACTGTGGTTGCCATCTTGAAATTCTTAATAATTTAGTGCTTGGGGGGGCGCCTGGGTGGCTCAGTTGGTTAAGCGACTGCCTTCGGCTCAGGTCATGATCCTGGAGTCCCGGGATCAAGTCCCACATCGGGCCCCCTGCTCAGCAGGGAGTCTGCTTCTCCCTCTGACCCTCCCCCCTCTCATGTACTCTCTCTCATTCTCGCTCTCTCAAATGAATAAATAAAATCTTTAAAAAATAATAATAATAATAATAATAATTTAGTGCTTGGGAAGCAAAGGCCATGGGACAATGAACTACGTGCTAGGGACTTAGGGTCTTGGCTCATGTGTGCCACATCTTCCTCCCCCTGGGACAGCTTCTCAGCCATTCACTCACCTGTGTCCTGGCACCGTAGGCCCTGCCCAGCCTCCCTGCTCCCCAACCCCTTCCAGTGACCACTGCCAACTCCATCAGCAGCAGGGGCCTGGGCACAGGTGTGGGAGGGTCAAGGTTGGATGAGCATCCCTCACGATGTCTGGGGGGATGGGCATGGTGATGGCTCTCTACCCTAGGCTGACAGTGTCACCATGCATTTGGCGTTGACTTTGTGCAGGTAAGCCTTGCAACCACCCCAGACCCAGACACCTAGTGCATCCTGACACAGACATTGTAATACCCTTGTGGGGGCATCTGCCTGCCAAGGGTGGGGGCATCAGGCCTCTGGGAAGAGGAGATGCCTGGCTCCATCTGGAGCTGGGGCACAGCCCATTAGTCCAGCAGATACTGAGAGTGGAGAGCAGCAGTGATGGGCCACTCATGTCCCAAGTCTTGGGGTAGGACCCCAGGATTCTGTGAGTGTCCCTACTAGCCCCACAGGTATCCCTGCGCCTGACAGAGGTAACATTAAACAGCAAATTTTAAAAACACCATGACCAGTTGAGAGACTACAGAATAAAGGGGGGGGGGGAGCTCTTTATTTTAGTAGCACTAACAGTAATTTTTTCTTGTTTTTAAATAGGGGGCCCTACTTTTTATTTTGTACTGGGCCCCAGTAGCTGATCCTGGCTCCTAGT